TGTTACTTGGTGATTTTAATGCCCACCATTTCCTCTGGGGGGAGGTCTCACTGTGATTCACACTCTCTCTTGCATCGATCTCTCAGTCTGCTCTTCCTCCGCCGCATTAGACTTCACTTGGTCTGTTCTTCTGGACTTACATGACAGCGATCATTTCCCAATCATTCTTACTTCCCCTTCATATTCACCACCTCTTCGCATCCCACGCTGGCAATTTGATCAGGCAAATTGGAACCTTTACTCACACCTAACTGTTTTTAGAGAGGTTCCTTCTTCGTCCTCCATCGATGAGCTTTTACACCTCTTCTCGTCCTCCGTTTTAACCGCACTTCTCATTCTATACCCCAAAAACTTCGGGGAGGCTTCTCAGAAATGCGTGCCTTGGTGGTCTCCTGCCCTTTTGCTTTGGCAGTACGTTTTGAAACGCGCTGCATGGGGCAGGGACCGGTACAATAAACCACAGAGAGACTTCTTGAATTTAAGCAGAAGCGTGCGATCGCTCGCCGTGTCATCCGTGACGCTAAACGCACTTGCTGGCGAGATTATGTCTCCACCATCACCTCTGCTTCCTCTATGAGTGCAGTCTGGGAAAAAAGTACGAAAACTGAGTGGTAAATATTCTCCTGACCCGGCTCCTGTTCTGCGGGTTGCCGGTGTTGATATAGCAAACCCACTAGATGTTGCCAATGAAATTGGCAATCATCTGGTCCGTATTTCTCAGGGACTCCATCTATGCCCCTCATTTCTTTCCTCAAAGTCTGCCAGAGAGTTAGCACCCTTGGACTTCTCTTCTCTCAGAGAAGAACAGTATAATGTGCCTTTTACACTTCAAGAACTGGAGGCAACACTCTCAGCTTGCCGATCATCGGCAGCTGGGCCCGACGACATTCATATTCGTATGCTACAACATTTACATCAGTCAGCCCTTGCAGTCCTATTACGCCTTTACAATCTTATTTGGTCACAAGGAGTTCTTCCACAGCTGTGGAAATCCGTCATTGTTCTCCCTTTCCGCAAACCAGGCACTACGGGACATGAAACCTCCCACTATCGTCCCATTGCTCTTACCAGTGCAGTTTGCAAAGTAATGGAACGCCTAGTAAATAGACGTTTAGTGTGGTATTTAGAGACACACAACAGTCCACTCGTCAATATGGCTTTCGTAAGGGACGTTCTACTATAGACCCCTTACTACGCTTGGATACGTATGTTCGTAATGCCTTTGCGAATAACCACTCAGTTATTGCCATATTTTTTGACCTTGAGTAGGCATATGACACAACTTGGAGGTATAATATTTTAGCCCAAGCCCACTCCTTAGGCCTTCGAGGCAATCTACCATCCTTCCTTAAGAACTTTTTAACTGACAGGCATTTCCGTGTTCGGGTTAATAATGTGCTCTCCCCGGACTTTATCCAAACTGAAGGTGTCCCCCAGGGATGTGTTCTGAGCACAACACTTTTTCTCCTTGCTATTAATGATTTGGCCTCTAGTCTTCCATCAAATATTTGGTCATCACTCTATGTTGATGACTTCGCTATTGCCTGTGCAGGCGCTGACTGTCACCTTATTACAGTTTCTCTCCAGCATGCAGTCGACCGTGTTTCCAATTGGGCCACCACACGTGGGTTTAAATTTTCCAGCATTAAAACCCACCAAATTAACTTTCACTAGACGCTCTGTCCATCTCCAATCATCTTTGTACCTCTATGGCTCCCGTATCCCTGAACGTGATACAGTCAAGTTTCTGGGCCTCTTCTTTGATCGTAGGTTATCTTGGAAACCTCACATTACCTCTCTGAAGGCAACTTGCCACAGCCGGCTGAATCTCCTTAAAACCCTTGCTCATCTTTCATGGGGAGCTGATCGTCGAACCCTCCTTCGCCTACATTCCACCCTTATCTTATCGAAACTTGATTATGGTGACCAGATCTATTCAGCGGCATCTCCTGCTACTCTCTCTAGCCTTAACCCCATTCATCACCAAGGATTACGTTTATGCCTTGGTGCTTTTCGCTCTTCCCCTGTCGAGAGCCTCTATGCAGAAGCGAACGTTCCATCCTTATCCGATCCCCGTGATGCCCATTGCCTTCGCTACTATGTACGCTCTCATGATCTCCGCAATCCTTCCATTTGTAGAATGGTCACTGATATTAGTAGACATTCTTTATTTGTTCGCCGCCCCTGTTTACTCCGTCCCTTCTCTCTTCGCCTTCATTCGCTCTTGTCTTCTCTTCAATTACCACCTTTCTATGTACATGTAGCATCTCACTTTTCCCTACCCCCTGGGAAGTTCCAGCTGTTTCGAGTCTGTTCTTTCTCTCTCCCTTGCTCGAAAGCCCAACTGTCTACGGTCGCTTCCCTCTCTCATTTTCTTGACCACTTTCACTCTCATTCTCATGCCATTGCTGTGTACACAGATGGCTCTAAGTTCTTCTGACGGCGTGGGATTCGCAGCATGTTTCCGGAAAAGCATCGTACAAGGGCAATTTACTACTTCGCTTAGTATTTTACTGCTGATTGTATGCCATCCTTTCCGGGCACTTATCCTAATTGCATCTATGCCTGTGTCTCATTTTGTGGTTGTCTCAGACTCCCTTATGCTTTACAGGCTAACAGAAATTTGATCCCACCCCCCTTATCCTCCGTTTTCCAATTTTGGCAAAGGCCGTCTTTACAACATAAAGATATTTTTTTTTGTTGGTCCCGGGTCATGTTGCGTACAGGGCAATAAACAGCAGACACTGCTGCGCAGTCAGCAGTACATGACCTACAGTTTCTGTAGAGGTTTCCATTACGGACTATTTTTGCTGCAATATCTTCCCAACTTCACACCCGTTGCAACAACGTTGTCTACTTTTGCTCGCAACAAACTTCAATCTATTAAACCGAGTATAGGTTAACTGGCCGTCTTCTTATCACCAATGTCCGAGTTGGGAACTACTCTCTCCCGCTTCGCATTGGCCATACTCGTCTTACTCATGGATATCTCATGGAGAGGCGCCCGCTCCCTCTCTGTGAGAATTGCCAAGTTCCATTATCAGTCAGCCACATTCTGTTTAGACTGCCCACTTTATCAACGAGTACGCAGAATTTACCTCCGTCGTCGCGTCTTCGCTCTGCTGCCTCTCTTTACCTCCCCTTCTCGCTGATGACCCACCTTTCATCCAGATCTCTCACTGACTTTTTGACAATCACCTGACTTACTTCACAAATTCTGATACCTTCAGCCCTTTCTACTTCAATCTCTTGCTGCCCCCTACCCCCGTACTATCCCCTGCCCCGCTGTTTTCTGTAACCTACTGATCATCCCTCCTCCCTTCTGCCATCCAATACCCTCGCTTCCTTCCCTACCCTGCAGCGCTGTATAGCCCTTGTGGCTTAGCGCTTCTTTTTGATTATAATAATAATAATAATACTGTTATACCACACAGTGTGAGAGTCATGTAGGTTGTTACTGTTATACCACACATTGTGAGAGTCATGTAGGTTGTTACTGTTATACCACACATTGTGAGAGTCATGTAGGTTGTTACTGTTATACCACACATTGTGAGAGTCATGTAGGTTGTTACTGTTATACCACACAGTGTGAGAGTCATGTAGGTTGTTACTGTTATACCACACAGTGTGAGAGTCATGTAGGTTGTTACTGTTATACCACACAGTGTGTGAGAGTCATGTTGGTTGTACTGTTATACCACACAGTGTGTGAGAGTCATGTAGGTTGTTACTGTTATACCACACAGTGTGAGAGTCATGTAGGTTGTTACTGTTATACCACACAGTGGAGAGTCATGTAGGTTGTTACTGTTATACCACACAGTGTGAGAGTCATGTAGGTTGTTACTGATATACCACACAGTGTGAGAGTTATGTAGGTTGTTACTGTTATACCACACAGTGTGAGAGTTATGTAGGTTGTTAGTGTTATACCACACAGTGAGAGAGTCATGTAGGTTGTTACTGTTATACCACACAGTGAGAGAGCCATGTAGGTTGTTACTGTTATACCACACAGTGTGAGAGTTATGTAGGTTGTTACTGTTATACCACACAGTGAGAGAGTTATGTAGGTTGTTAGTGTTATACCACACAGTGAGAGAGTTATGTAGGTTGTTACTGTTATACCACACATTGTGAGAGTCATGTAGGTTGTTACTGTTATACCACACAGTGTGAGAGTTATGTAGGTTGTTACTGTTATACCACACAGTGTGAGAGTTATGTAGGTTGTTACTGTTATACCACACATTGTGAGAGACATGTAGGTTGTTACTGTTATACCACACAGTGAGAGAGTCATGTAGGTTGTTACTGTTATACCACACAGTGAGAGAGTCATGTAGGTTGTTACTGTTATACCACACAGTGAGAGAGTCGCGTAGGTTGTTACTGTTATACCACACAGTGAGAGAGTCATGTAGGTTGTTACTGTTATACCACACAGTGTGAGAGTTATGTAGGTTGTTACTGTTATACCACACAGTGTGAGAGTTATGTAGGTTGTTACTGTTATACCACACAGTGAGAGAGTCGCGTAGGTTGTTACTGTTATACCACACAGTGAGAGAGTCATGTAGGTTGTTACTGTTATACCACACAGTGTGAGAGTCATGTAGGTTGTTACTGTTATACCACACAGTGTGAGAGAGTCGCGTAGGTTGTTACTGTTATACCACACAGTGAGAGAGTCGCGTAGGTTGTTACTGTTATACCACACAGTGAGAGAGACATGTAGGTTGTTACTGTTATACCACACAGTGAGAGAGTCATGTAGGTTGTTACTGTTATACCACACAGTGAGAGAGTCATGTAGGTTGTTACTGTTATACCACACAGTGAGAGAGTCATGTAGGTTGTTACTGTTATACCACACAGTGAGAGAGTCGCGTAGGTTGTTACTGTTATACCACACAGTGAGAGAGTCATGTAGGTTGTTACTGTTATACCACACAGTGAGAGAGTCGCGTAGGTTGTTATTGACTGTTATTCCACAGACTGGGTAGGAAGGCATCGCTGTCATTCGTGTTTTTACTGGGTGGTGTCGCATGCTTCATATCCGGATTTATCCCTGAAGGTAAATTATGTGAGTTTATGGTATACTCCTTGACCACACTCATCTATACCCGCACCTATATTCACACCTACACTATCACCTACACCAACGCCCACACCCAGGAACACACTCACTTCCACACCCATAAACACTCACTTCCACACCCATGACCACACCCACCACACCTACACCTATATTCACACCGACACCCACACCTATACCAACGCCAACACACATGAACATACTCACTTCCACACCCATGACCACACTCACTGTCACACCCATGACCATACTCACTTTTACACTCAAGCCAACACTTGCACACCCATGCCCACACTTCTACACCCATTCCCATACTTCCACACCCATGACCACACTTCCACACCCATGACCACACTTACACACCCATACCGACACTTCCACACCCATGCCCACACTTCACACCCATGCCCACACTTCCACACTCCCACACTTCCACACACCCATGCCCACACTTCCACATCCATGCCCACACTTGCACACCCATGCCCACACTTCACACCTATGCCCACACTTCTACACCCATGCCCACACTTCCACACTCACTCCCAAACTTCCACACACCCATGCCCACACTTCCACATCCATGCCCACACTTCCACACTCATGCCCACGTTTCTACTCCCTGCCCACCACTTCCACATCCATGCCCACACTTTCACACTCATGCCCACGTTTCTACTCCCATGCCCACACTTCCACACTCACTCCCAAACTTCCACACACCCATGCCCACACTTCCACATCCATGCCCACACTTCCACACTCATGCCCACGTTTCTACTCCATGCCCACACTTCCACATCCATGCCCACACTTTCACACTCATGCCCACGTTTCTACTCCCATGCTCACACTTCCAAACCCATGCATACACTTCTACTCCCATGCCCACACTTCCACACTCATTCCCACACTTCCACACCCATGCCCACACTTCCACACCCATGCCCACACTTCCACAGTCATGCCCACACTTCCACACCCATGCCCACACTTCCACACTCATTCCCACACTTTCATACCCATGCCCACACTTCCACACCCATGCCCACACTTACACACCCATGCCCACGCTTCCACATCCATGCCCACACTTCCACATCCATGCCCACGCTTCCCCACTCATTTCCACACTTCCACACTTATGCCCACACCTACACCCACACACACACAACACACACACAACACAACCCACACCCCACGCACCCACACACCCACACACCCACACACCCACACACCCACACACCCACACACCCACACACACACACACACACACACACACCCACACCCCCACACCCCCCACCCCCACACACCCACACACACACACACACACACACACACCCACACCCCCGCACCCCCACACACCCACACCCCCACACACACACACCCCCACACACCCACACACCCACACACCCACACACCCACACACCCACACACACACACACACCCACACACCCACACCCCCACACCCCCACACACCCACACACCCACACACCCACACACCCACACCTACCACACCCCCACACCACTTCAATAATTCAGAACATACATAATCTTAAAATTAAGTTAATACGAATTTATAACAGAGTACAAATATAAATTTTAATTTTCTAGAACGATGTTGTATTTTTTTTATTTTGCAAAATAATGGAAAATCATTGCCATTGCAGTGTACTGTTTATGCAATCAGTGCAAAAAATACAATGCAAGTTTTTATAATTGTCAAACTCTGTGCATAATGCAAATTGAGTAGTGTTCACTGTGCGGGAACTTTACTGCTTTAAAAAACTTTCTCCGTAAGTTTTTTTCCATATAATTACATTCCACAGAATTATAGTATGATTTTCCTTGTGTTTTATGAAGACTTATGATGGTGATTTACACTTTTTTGAAAAAACTCTGGATAATGACATTGCTCAAATGTTCACTGAAAATAACTTTATTATTTAAAAGTTAAATTACTTCACAACCAAAAAAAATAATATGAAGAATAGAAATATAATCCAAGAAATATTAAGCAACTTTATGAAGTTGTAGTATTTGTTATTTTGTGTTATTTATGAGTGCTGGTCTATGTGACCCATGCTTTATCGCATCTTTAATAATATTATTATCAGTGAAAATAACAATAATGTTATTAATAATAATGATAATAATAATAATAGTGATAATAATAATAATAAGCCTGTTGAGTATACCTGGTAAAGCGCATGTTGGTCTTATTATTGCAAGAATTGAAGACGGAGAGCAGGATAGCAGATGAACACTGAGGCTTTAGGAAGGTAGGGGGTGTGTGGACCAGGTGTTTACAGTGAAACATGTAAGTGAACAGTATTTAGACAAGGCTAAAGAGATTTTTGTGGCATTTATGGATTTGGAAAAGGCGTATGACAGGGTGGATAGGGGGGCAATGTGGCAGATGTTGCAGGTGTATGGTGTAGGAGGTAGGTTACTGAAAGCAGTGAAGAGTTTTTACGAGGATAGCGAGGCTCAGGTTAGAGTATATAGGAGAGAGGGAGATTATTTCCCAGTAGAAGAAGGCCTTAGACACGAATGTGTGATGTCACCATGGTTGTTCAAAATATTTATAGATGGAGTTGTAAGATAAATAAATGCTCGGATGATGACAGGAGGTGTGGTGTTAAAAGATAAAGAATCATACATAAAGTGGAAGTTGTCACAGTTGCTCTTTGCTAATGACACTGTGCTTTTGGGATATTCTGAAGAGAAGATGCAGACGCTGGTGGATGAGTTCGGAAGAGTATGTAAAAGAGGGAAATTAAAAGTTAGTATAGGAAAGAGTAAGGTATTGAGGATAACAAACAAATTAGGTAAAGAAAGGTTGGATGTCATGTTGGAGGGAGAGAGTATGGAGGAGGTGAATGTGTTAAATTTTTGGGGAATGGACGCGTCAACAGATGGGTCTACGAAGGATGAGGCGATTCATAAAAATGAAGAGGAAAAAAAGTGAGTGGTGCACTGTGGAGTCTGTGGAGACAATGAACTTTGTTCTTAAATGGATGACTCACGAAATCGCAATGACACGATTGCAAACAAACCATATCACGGTCTGGAGTTTTGAGACTCTCTGATCGCGGGTTCTATCCAGCCCGTGGTATGGTTTCTTAAATGGATGTAAAACATGGGTGTTGAATTATGTAACAAGGAGAAGGCTGGAGGCAGTAGAGATGTCGTGTCTGAGGGCATTGCATGATGTTCAAAAATAACCCGCACATAGAAGAGAGGAGCTTACGACGGGGTTTCGGTCCGACTTGGGCCATTTACGAAGTCACACAGTCGTAAGCTCCTCTCTTCTATGTGCGGGTTATTTGTGTATCGTTCCAGTCACGGTATTGTGCTTTTTTTTGTTATTGCATGATGTGAATGTAATACAGAGAATTTGCAGTTTGGAAACCAGGAGGAGGAGCAGGATTACCAAAACTATTATCCAGAGGGCTGAGGAGGGGTGCTTTGGACATGTAGAGAGAATGGAAGCATGACGAAGCCCCAACTGTTGTTGGAGGTTCGACAAATTACCTAATGACTAAAGAGATTACAACTGCCGATTGTTTGTTTTCCAGAATATTAAATTTTTGTCTATAATGGAGGTAAAACGGTACAATTAATTAAACTGTGTATATTCATGCAAGGCTAATTAATATCAATGTAGATTTAAAAAGTCTGATTCATACATTTCCTACTAACATTGCCTGGTGAACAATAGCTTTACTGAACCTACAAATATTTAAATTTTGTTCTACCTGTATATTTGTGTAATCCCATTCATTTTCTAATCCTTATAATAGGCAATTACTGGTTGGTGGTTGTTCCGAGCTTGTTGGGTAAGTTTGGAATCTCAGCAGCATTTGCCATCGTCTTCATCTACTCTGCCGAGATCTTCCCAACTGAGTACCGCAGTGTGGCACTTGGTGCTTGTTCCATGTGTTCTCGTCTTGGTGGTATTCTCGCACCATTCATTGCTTCTCTAGTAAGTGATTACCATATTATTTATTAATTATGCAAAATTTAAAGGTTCGTGAATTAAAGTACTATGGTTTTTTTTCCAATATTCACTTAGTGTATCTTGGATATATGTCACACTATAGTGCCTATTAATTTTCTTTCCGTGCCCACAAACTTTATGTGTTAAAGTGGTGAAAAAAACAATCTTGAAATTGTTGGAATCTGTGCCATACCTGGAGAATGACTTACCTCATTTGCTTCAAATTTTAACCAATGGTGTGGTTTCCTGTACACAAAGCTCGTACTGTTGTTGGCTGCCTTAAGTGACAGCTATTTTTTATTCAGTAAAGAAAAACTGTTTCTTCTGATTGGTTTCAAAATATTATTGACGATGCACTCTGTGAGATGCATTATACCCCATATGTATAGACCGAATAAGTACAAATTTAAAATTTTACTGAAATTAAAAATAATACATCGTTGGATTCACATCAATTACCGGAAAATGTCCTTTCTGATTGGATTTAAGTTTTTCCATTGGTTGGATTGATTAAAACAAAGTTTGTCACTCACTCTGTTGAGTGTAACTTTTAATTGATCGATTTTATCAAGAAAACTGTTTCTCATGTAATAACTTGTGACTGACTTTTCTAATCAGCTTCCAAAACTAAATTTTAGAGTATCTTAAATAGAAGATTTTTTGTATTAATTTTAATAAATTTAATTTTTCCGCAAATTAAAAAAAAAATCCTTACAGGAGAATTTCAAAATAGAATATACAAATCACAAAACTAAACTGGAAAAAATAACTGTTGGTTAATTGTTTATTTAGCTTAACAAGGAGAGATTTTCTTAGCAACATTCTTGTGCAATGTGTCTTGTGAAAGATTGATAGCAATATTTACATGAATGATACACTATACACAATGCTACATTGTGTATAGTGTATATTGTTTACGTGTAATAACTAGAGAGAAGCTCCTCTGATCCACTTCAACATTTTGTTTACGTGTAATAACTAGAGAGAAGCTCCTCTGATCCACTTCAACATTTTGTTTACGTGTAATAACTAGAGAGAAGCTCCTCTGATCCACTTCAACATTTTGTTTACGTGTAATAACTAGAGAGAAGCTCCTCTGATCCACTTCAACATTTTGTTTACGTGTAATAACTAGAGAGAAGCTCCTCTGATCCACTTCAACATTTTGTTTACGTGTAATAACTACAGAGAAGCTCCTCTGATCCACTTCAACATTTTGTTTACGTGTAATAACTAGAGAGAAGCTCCTCTGATCCACTTCAACATTTTGTTTACGTGTAATAACTAGAGAGAAGCTCCTCTGATCCACTTCAACATTTTGTTTACGTGTAATAACTAGAGAGAAGCTCCTCTGATCCACTTCAACATTTTGTTTACGTGTAATAACTAGAGAGAAGCTCCTCTGATCCACTTCAACATTTTGTTTACGTGTAATAACTAGAGAGAAGCTCCTCTGGTCAACTTCAATATATAAACAGTCGTGTTTCCTACTAAGAAGAAAGTTGGTATATTTAACAGAGTGCAGCTGCTATTTTACCACTTTTAACCTCGAAATAGTGTAGTGTTCTTTCACCTTATTGCACTATTTTGTCTTGATGCTGGTGAGGGTCTCTTGATCCAAGGAACTGGACTTTTCATGCTTTGTTCGAATTCCAATACCTCTTATTCCATAAGTGCTGTGTGACGCCTACAGGTTTAGCGCTTTCCTTTGATTAAAACAATAGTTAAGGTCATCAGTCATCATTGCTTAATGATTCGTATGAAATGGGTCGAACATTTGATGGTTTAGGCTGTGTAGGCACAAATTTTGTTGGATTTTGAGTAATAACTGGAAAATGCATCTTCTGATCGGCTTTAAACTTTTAGTGCTGATGTGCTTACTTCAAAGGTGACTCATCTTCCGCTAGTGAGTTTCTCCACTGGTGACTCATCTTCCACTAGTAAGTTTTTCCACTAGTGACTCATCTTCCACTGGTAGGTTTCTCCACCGGTGACTCATCTTCCACTGGTGACTCCTCATCCACTAATGGGTTTCCCAACTGGTGAATCATCTTCCTCTGGTGGTTTTCTCCACTGGTGACTCATCTTCCACTGGTGACACATCTTCCACTGGTGACTCTTCTTCCACTAGTGGGTTTCCCAACTGGTGACTCATCTTCTACTAAAGGGTTTCTCCACTGGTGACTCATCTTCCACTAGTGGGTTTCTCCACTAGTTACTCATGTTCCACTAGCGAGTTTCTCCACTGGTGAGTCATCTTCCACTAGTGAGTTTCTCCAATGGTGACTCATCTTCCACTAGTGAGTTTCTCCACTGGTGAGTCATCTTCCACTAGTGAGTTTCTCCAATGGTGACTCATCTTCCACTAGTGAGTTTCTCCACTGGTGACTCCTCTTCCACTAGTGGGTTTCTCCAACAGTGACTCATCTTCCAATGGTGAGTTTCTCCACTGGTGACTCATCTTCCACTAGTTGGTTTCCCCACTAGTGACTCATCTTCCACTAGTTGGTTTCTCCACTGGTGACTCACCTTCTACTAGTGGGTTACTGCACTAGTGACTCATCTTCCAATAGTGAGTTTCTCCACTGGTGACTCATCATCCACTAGTGGGTTTCTCCACTAGTTATTCATCTTCTACTAGTGAGTTTCTCCACTAGTTACTCATCTACTAGTGAGTTTTTCCCCTAGTTACTCATCTTCCACTAGTGAGTTTCTCCACTGGTGACTCATCATCCACTAGTGGGTTTATCCACTAGTTATTTATCTACTAGTGAGTTTCTCCACTAGTTACTCATCTTCTACTAGTGAATTTCTCTACTGGTGACTCATCATCCACTAGTGAGTTTCTCCACTAGTGCCTCATCTTCTACTAGTGAGTTTCTCCACTAGTTACTCATCTTCCACTAGTGAGTTTCTTCACTGGTGACCCATCTTCCACTAGTGGGTTTCTCAACTAGTGACTCATCTTCCACTAGTTGGTTTCTCCACTAGTGATTCATCTTCCACTAGTGGGGTTTCTCAACTGGTGACTCATCTTCCACTAGTGGATTTCTCCACTAGTGACTAATTTTCCACTAGTGAGTTTCTCCACTGGAGACTCATCATTCACTAGTTGGTTTCTCCACTAGTTACTCATCTTTCAATAGTGAGTTTCTCCAGTGGTGACTCATCTTCCACTAGTGAGTTTCTCCACTGGTGACTCAACTTCCACTAGTGGATTTCTCCACTAGTGACTCATCTTCCACTGGTGGGTTTCTCCGCTAGTGACTCATCTTCCGTTAGTGAATTTTTCTACTGGTGAGTCATCTTATACTAGTGAGTTTTTCCACTGGTAACTCATCTTCCACTAGTGAGTATCTCAACTGGTGACTCATCTTCCACTAGTGAGTTTCTCCACTGGTGACTCATCATCCACTAGTGAGTTTCTCCACTAGTGCCTCATCTTCTACTAGTGAGTTTCTTCACTGGTGACCCATCTTCCACTAGTGGGTTTCTCAACTAGTGACTCATCTTCCACTAGTTGGTTTCTCCAGTGGTGACTCATTTTCTACCAGTGAGTTTCTGCACTGGTGACTCATCTTCCTCTAGTGAGTTTCTCCAGTGGTGACTCATTTTCTACCAGTGAGTTTCTCCACTGGTGACTCATCTTCCTCTAGTGAGTTTCTCCGCTGGTGACTCATCCTCCACTAGTGAGTTTCTCCACTGGTGACTCATCTTCCACTAGTGGGTTTCTCCACTAATGACTCATCTTCCATTAGTGAATTTTTCTACTGGTGAGTCATCTTATACTAGTGAGTTTTTCCACTGGTAACTCATCTTCCACTAGTGAGTATCTCAACTGGTGACTCATCTTCTACTAGTTAGTTTCTACACTGGTGACTGACCTTCCACTAGCGGGTTTCACCACTAGCGACTCATCTTCCAATGGTGAGTTTCTCCACTTGTGACTCATCTTCCACTAGTTGGTTTCTCCACTAGTGACTCATCTTCCACTAGTTGATTTCTCCGCTAGTGACTCATCTTCCACTATTGAGTTTCTCCAATGGTGACTCATCTTCCACTAGTGGATTTCTCCACCGGTGACTCGTCTTCCATTAGTTGGTTTCTCCACTAGTGACTCATCTTCCACTAGTTGGTTTCTCCACTGGTGACTCATCTTCCACTAGTGGGTTTCTCCAATATTGACTCATTTTCCAATAGTGAGTTTCTCTACTGGTGACTCATCATCCACTAGTGGGTTTCTCCACTAGTTATTCATCTTCCAATAGTGGATTTCTCCACTAGCGCCTCATCTTCCACTAGTGACTTTCAACACTGGTGACCCATCTTTCATTAGTGGGTTTCTCCACTTGTGACTCATCTTCCACTAGTGAATTTCTCCACTAGTGACTCATTTTCCACTAGCGAGTTTCTCCACTGGTGACTCATCATCCACTAGTGGGTTTCTCCACTAGTTACTCATCTTCCTCTAGTGGGTTTCTCCACTAGTGACATATCTTCCACAAGTTGGTTTCTCCACTAGTGACTCATCTTCCACTACTGAGTTTCTCCACTGGTGACTCATCTTCCACTAATGTGTTTCTCCACTAGTGTGTCATCTTCCACTAGTGAGTTTCTCCACTAGTGAATCATCTTCCACTAGTGAGTTTCTATACTGGTGAGTCATCTTCCACTAATGAGTTTCTCCACTAGCGCCTCATCTTCTACTAGTGAGTTTCTCCACTAGTTACTCATCTTCCACTAGTGAGTTTCAACATTGGTGACCCATCTTCCACTAGTGGGTTTCTCCACTAGTGACTCAACTTCCACTAGTGGGTTTCTCCACTAGTTATTCATCTTCCACTGGTGGGTTTCTCCATTACTGCCTCATCATCCACAAGTGGGTTTCTCCACTAGTTACTCAATTTTCCCTAGTGAGTTTCTCCATAGGTGACTCATCTTCCACTAGTGAGTTTTTCCACTGGTGACTCATCTTGCACTAGTGG